CTTGAGCTATTAGTAAGTGGAAAAAGAAAAATATAACATTTGAAGAGAAATGGAAAATACATTAAACAAATATTTCGTTCTTTTTTCTCTCTCTCTCTCCTAACCCGAAAGGGAGCATTTGATTAAAATATCCAAGATTACAAAATTACAAACAAAATCAAGTGCCTCCTATACTCAAACACAATCATGATTAGTAAGAGCGAACTGAGCTAAGACATGGACTACTTTATTTCCATCCCTTTTGCATGAATAACATAACAAGGTCCAAAAAGTGAGGATGTTATAATGTCCATAACAAGATATAAAGATTGTATACACTTATAGAGCCTTAAAAATGTCCATACTATCTCCTTCAACCATAAGTCCACAAATCAATGTTCTTAGGCCCATGATAGACCGAGTTGGGTTACGTGGCCCTTTACCATGTTGGGTTTTACAAAAAATTATAAAATAGGCCTATTTAGGTTAGGCCAAATTTATAAAAAAAAAAAAAATAATATTTCGAGTTTAAATTTAAGGATAATTTTTATATAATTAAATAGTTTGATTCATTACAAAATATTTGTGATAATGTGTTAACACATTATTGGATATAATTGTAAAATTGTTAATGCTTCAAAACTGAAAAAATACATATGATTTAAAATAACCATCATAGGTTTTTTTTTTTTTAAAAAAAAAAAAATTGTAAATTTTTGAAAGACGAACTAGAGAGTATGTGAATTGTTTTTGTAGGGAAAATTTGAATCGTTATTATACCCAAATTATATTTCCCTTGGCAAAGAACAACCTGCACAAGAAAAGTTTAAAAAATTAAAAAAAACCTGTTAATCAAAAGAAAAAGTTTAAGTATTTAATATTTTTTTAAAAATTTATTATGAGTAATAAATATCATCTTCAATCCTTGGTCTTTTCCTAAAGGCTTGTGTTAGTAATATTTAAATAATTAAAATAAGGATAAGTTATTCTACTTACATTTTTTTATGCCTATCTTACCTATCATTCTCTAATATTGTTAGATCAGAATCCGAAGAAGAGAGAGAAACAATAAAAATTAGTTGAGATTATGATATAACGATTTTGTAAAGTGGTAGATAAGGTAGGTATGAGGAAAAAAAAATAGGTAGAATAACTTATCCAAAAAACTAATACTTATTAAAAAATAAAATTTTATATTTAGAAATTTAAAATACTTATTGGTTTCTTTTTAAGTAATTAGAAGCTTTTAATATGGGATATTAAATAATTTTTAATATGTTTAATATTAAATTTCATAAATTTAGATAATACTTTTTCTTTATAGAAGATAAGACTTTCTATTTAATATGTTTATGCTTAAAAATTTACATGAGATGATTTATTTCCAATATTACATTATCATTTAATTTTGTACTAAAATCCTTGTTTGATTAAATGTCAACATAAACACAAAAGCATAACTTTCTAACATGTATCAAAATTAATATTTGTTATTATAACTTTATGGTTGAGATTTTTTTATTGGATATTAACTAGGAATTCCATTTAGTGTATTAGTTAAGTTCCAATGAGTAGGTTAGGAGAAAACTTGATTCGAATCTTATCAACTATATTTTTTGAAGGGGGATGAACTTTATTTGCGACTATAAGCCGGTTTAAAAAGTCAGGATTAATCTCATAATCAATTTAAATAAATAAATATTGTATTTAAAGAGTTAAAGCTCGAGGAGATAGCAGGTCAGGTTTCGGTATATAAAAAAGAAAAAATATATTTTCTTTCATAAATATAATTTATATAACTAGTATAAACTTAGCTTTTAAGGAAATAATTAATTTACACATCATTATTTTCAATGTAAGATAATTATTTTTTTGATAAATTATAAAATAATTGTTTGACACAAATATTTATACGACCATTTAATATAAATTGATGATGTATCATGCATTTATTGACTTAGTTTACAAAGAATTTTTCTTAGTCAAGCAGATCACACAAAAAGTAATAAAAAAAATTTATTTTTAATATTATAAGAGAAAATATTTGTCATTTTAAAATACATTTTATGTCTTATATATATATATATATATATATATATATATGTATATATTAATACTTGGGAAAACTTCAAAAAATCCCTTGAAAGTTTCGTCAGAATTACTTACCCCCTCCCCGAAATTTTTAATCATTTATACCCCTACTTAAATTTTTTTTGTTACTTACCCCCTAACTTGATTTTCCATCCAAAATTAAGGTTAACAGAGTTAATTTTTAAAAAAATACCAAAACTATCCTTAAAAAAAAGAGAATTAACCCTTACATTACCCCCACTATTTGGTGTTTACTGCATATACGAGGAATCTTAAGATTAAATGCTTCACTGATTAAATATTTCAATTCCCTTTCTTGTTTGCTATTCCAAAATGATGATCCATATATTCATTTGCTTATTTATAGAGCCATGCAAGAATGTGCTTTTTTTTTCTTATCCAAGGATTAATTTTTCTTTTTTTCTTTTAAGGATAGTTTTAGTATTTTTTTAAGAAATTAACTCTGTTAACCTTAATTTTGGATGAAAAATCAAGTTATGGGATAAGTAATAATTTTTTTTTAAGTAGGGGTGTAAATGATTAAAAATTTCGGAGAGGGAATAAGTGATTCTGACGAAACTTTCAGGAGTTTTTTGAAGTTTTCCCTTAATACTTTACATTATTTCTTCTCCAAAAAATTAAAGGAGAGAAAGAGAAAATAATATTGTAGATGAGAAATAATATAAAAATTTAACAAATATGCATAAAAACAAAACTATTTCACTTAAAATGACAAAAAATTGTATTTTTAAAATACTAAATATTTTTATGGAAAAATAAATATTTCCCCCTTATTATACTTATAATTTAAAACATATTAATACTTTATTTATGTATTTCATCTATTTTCCGCTTTGAAAATGTTATTTGTTCAATTTATCTTTTGCTTTATAAAGTTTAAAAAGTATTAATTATTTTTTCAATTTTTTTTTTGTTTCTTAAATATTTTTATTAAATAATTGTTAAAATACGAATAAAATAATTTAGTTGTTGTTTTCCCCTAAAGAATCTATCTAGTTGTTTTCTTAAGCATTGTGGTGTGGGAGTAACTAAAAAGCAATCTATTATACGAGTATCTATAAATATTAAAAAAATGTTAAAAAATTATTTTACTAGCAGTAAAAAATATTAGAGTATTAAAAAAATACAGAAAAATTGAAACTTTAAAATAGTTAAAAATCTCAAACATTAGTAGTTTAAGGGAAATAGTTTTATCATTTTATATGAGAAAATTTTCTCATCTTACACTCACAATTAAAAAGTGAAACCCATGATTTTTTTGTGAACCCCACTCATATATTGTGTGTGTAACATGAGAAAATTTATCCCCTTAATTTAATTGATAGAACATTATTTCACTATTAATATGTAAACATATCATCATATTTAACATTAATTGAAGAAATTTAAAAAAAAGTTATACTTACAACCACTGGCGGACCTATTCACACGCACATGTCCGCAAGTGCGTGCATGAACTTTTGAAAAAAGAATAAAAAATTATTTTCATAGGAAGACATAGAGTTAGCGCGAGACGTGACAGTGGGAAGAGTCTTCTGTGGACATGCCTTCTCCGAACAAGGCTTTTATTAGTCTCAAACCCAATACATAAAAAAGACCTCTGTCTCTGTATCTTTACTCTGCCGCTGCCCAAGTAAAATGGAATAGTTCCCCTCCCCTATCTTTCCTAAAAAAACAAACATATAAAAGTAGAGGAGAGTTATATTTACAAATTTTTTGTTTACAAACTATACTGTGTTCTCTCGGAAGAGGTTACATTATGTTCTCCCGGGAGTACATAGTGTAATTTGCAAAAATTTATATTTTCTTTTTTGTAAACAGAGTGTTCCCCATAAAAGTATATTAAACTTAAATTTTATTTTTCTTTCATCTTTTCACATAATCTTATACGGGCCTCATATATTTTCATATGTATAAAAGATAATTGTTCTATTATAATAATTTAGTTACTCTTGATTACTATTTTTTTATGTTAAATTGAAGTTTTTTTTATATATTCTTTTGTTTTTTAATGTATTTCTTTCAAGGACGAACTCCGTCACTGAGTGTGCGGACAGAAATAAAATTTTCTGGGTCCGCCACTGCTTACAACCTATTTTCATTTACAACCTCTTATAATTATTTCTTAACCTTTAATTTTTGTGAATCAAAGATTATTATTTTGACAAATTAAACTAATTAATTAATTATTAATTTATAAAAAATTATAACCGTTGATCGACGAAAATCAACAGTTAAAATACGATCATAAGAAATCATAAATAACAATAAATTATAAGGGTAAAGATTTCTCCGGTCAACAGGGGTGTGCATAACAACCCGAAATTAATTTTTTTTTAATTTCTGTTCCCGGAAACAGAAATGGATAGGAAACTCGTTTGGTAGAATCGGTTTATTTTTTTGTTAGAACTAACCGGTTTAATTTTTGTGCTGGGGAACATAAAAAAGAATTAGAAAATTTCTAAGAAACAGTGCTATCAAACATATTATCAAACACAATTTTTTTCTCATAAACTATTCCAAGGTATAGACATAGAAAAGAATTGTTTCTTTTCAGAAACAGTGCTAGGGAATAGAATGGTTGTCATGCACACCCGAGAGATAAGTTATCTCCAGTGAACCCAAAACAACGTCATTTTGAGGCGAAAGTCAAGGTATTTTTGTAATTACAATATATTGCAGGATTATATTAGTTTTTATCATTTAAATTTTTTAATTTTATAGCTTCAAAACTACGTCGTTTTAAACTTACTGGAGATAATTTTATTTTCGGTGACCGGAGAAATATTTTTTCCAAATTATAAATATAACATTCCTAAAAAAATAAAAAAAGAGTGAATCCTCGGATTTGTAATTTGTAATTTTAAATCAAAATTTCAGATACACTCTGTTGCCAAGTGCAGTATCGCCATAAAGCGTGACATAAACGTATATAAATAGAACAGCTACGGTTCTGCACTTTCTCACTTTCTTTTTTCAGTTAAAAACAAAACGCAGGGTCCTCAACAATGGTGGCGACGCTTCTAAAATCCTAAAACCCTAACCCTAAAACCCCTTTATCCCCAATCTTCAACACAATCGATCGATCTCTACGAGCCACGACGCCATGAACATCGATCACGATCAACCTCACACAACAACGAAGGCCCAGGCGCTTCAGACCCTAACTGCGGGACCTCTCTCCTCGTCGGTGGCAAAGCTCGCCGCGTCTTCGCGGTGCATCCCTTCCGATAAGGACTTCCATTTCTACCGCAACTTCGAGGAATTCAAGGTCCCTCTCGATGAAATCGCGCGTGAATCTCAGTCGATGCTGGAAGCCATCGGCGCCTCCGCGCATGTCTGGGGCGGAAGGGAATCGGCGGCGGGGGAAGCATTCCCTTCCGATGTTGATGATGCGTATGACTGGCTGGTGAACGTGAACGACGACGTTTTGGAGCGGTTCGACTCGTCTGTGGACGAGTTCCGGAGGGTTCGGGCGGAGGAAGAGGAAACGGGTCGTCCGGCGAAGTCTTCAATGGAGGAAGATGGGTTTCAGTTGGTTTGTGGGAGGAAGAAGAAAGGGGGAAGAGGGAAAGTGACAATGGATTCGGAGACAAGTTCACCGGCACCTGGAGTTAAGGTGGCAATGAAGGATAAGAAGACGATGGGGCCGAAGCCGAAGGTGCCGTTTCATATACCAACGATTAGGAGGCCGCAGGATGAGTATAACATACTTGTTAATAATGCGAACCTACCTTTTGAGCATGTTTGGTTGCAGAGGAGTGATGATGGTCTGAGATTTATTCATCCACTGGTTAGTTCACTCTCTGGCTTTGTTAATATAAATTGATAGTATATATATTTTTTAAGCTTAAATTTGAATTATGTATTGACTCATCACTAAAATATTTAGACTCGAAGGGTAATGGTTGTGATACATTGACAGTACATGATTAGAATAAGCATCAAAATTCAACATTTGTTTTTTTTTCTCCCTTTTGTTTTGTGTTTTTGACAAATTTACGTAAAAGGAAAAAATTTCAACTTTGCGTAGAAAAAGATGGTGATTACAGTAAGTCATCGTTTATTATGATTATTATTTGTAACTCATATTTTGCTAATGCGAAAAGCGCTAGTTTTCAGAGATGGGTAGGCTTTTTTATTTTTATTTTTGAATCTAATTCATGGCTTAGGCTGAGTATGTATCAATCTCATCAGGCAAGTAACTTGCATGCTGTTGCTCTGTGGTCTTATTGTTGTTTTATCTCGGGATGTATGTTATTGTTATGTAATATTTGTTTCTCTCCCCCGACTCTCCCTTAAACAGCTATACTAAATCAGAATGTTAGAAATTTTGGAGCAATAACAAGTCTATTGCCTTTACATGGAGTACTCTAAATCTGTGTGCATGCACACACAAAACATGTGTACGCACATGCACATGCATGACAGTAATATTTGTTATCCAATATCCTCAATGTTGTAAGAACCTAAGAATTTTTTGAAATATTTGTTTCTTATATAATATTCAAGAGGTGTTAAGACTTATGTTGCATTTATGTGTACACTATACCTGCTTGAATATACTTATCTAATCTGCATGTGTGGCCTTATATCAATTGGGCTATGGTCATGTGGTTTTGTTATTTATTTGGTTCTTCACGCGGCATAACATTTGGCTAAAGTTGTTCCACGAGTTAAGAAGCTCTTCTTTCATCTAAAAAATTGGAATTCACATTTGAGAATGGCATTAGTTAAACTTGAATGCTCCTTCCCCCTTGATTCTAAATTTCTAATATCTAGCGTGGCCTCTTCAACCAAGAGGAGATAACAATGCAAGTTTCATGCGGGTGTTTTTTAGTGTCCTCTAGAGCAATTATGCAGACTGTATTTATATGTTGGTATAGTATTACTTGATAAGATGAAAGCAATAGCCTAGGTGAAATGATGTTTTCTTTATTACTTCATACCCTTTCATCCTCGTAATATTGCATGAACCTAGGATTCAGGATATAGTTACTAGGAATGTGGTACGGGTACACGGTTCTTTACATTTTACATTATTATCACAAGACTTTTTTTTAAATTGGTCCTGGTATGTGGGTACGCGGGATGGTAAATTAGTTATGTGGTACGCAGGGTTGTTGAGTGAAGCCGGTAAATATGGTTATGGATTTAATGAGCCTGATTGAAAGTCTTTTGATGCAAGAAAGAATAAATCCTTTTTAAAGAGTAATGCTTATTTGGCATTTAAATCTTGGTGGAAATAAATTTTGGTTGTCCAATCTTGTTTTGCCTTAGCAATCTTCATCACCTCTGTGTATGCTTATGGAAACCTTTCATCATTTTGATTATCTTTTGTTCTGTGTTAAGTTGGGTTGTCTTTATTTTGTCATCTCTGTTTGTTTGTGTTAATCAATTGATAATTTATTTTTTCAGGAAAAGCTCTCTGTTATGGATTTTGTTGATAGAGGCCTTGAAGATGTTGTGCCAGTGAAGCCTTCCTCAACAGAAAGCAGCACTTTTAAGCTTGTGGAGGAAGTCAAAGATTTGAAGGAGTTGGCTGCTAAGCTGCGTTCTGTTGATGAATTTGCGGTAAAATATGATCACTGTTCATAAAGTTTTACTCATAAATTTCCTTCATGATTAGTTATGCAACTAATCCTTGTCTCTGATATGTGCAACTACAATGATACATGATAAATAAAAATTCCCTCAGTCACTTGTAATTTTAATCTTCAGTAGCACAAATCCTGGTGCAATTTTAGAAGTCAGATATCTACATCCATTTTATTCCCTTTTCAGATTAGAGAAAGAAAATTTTACTAGTAGAATTTCAAATCTTTTGCCTTTTGAACAGTTTTTGACGACAAACTCTCAGATCTCCCTTGAAACTTCATGTTTTGAAGATCAAGTAATGATACATGATAAATAAATGTTCCCTCAGTCACTTGTAATTTTAATCTTCATTAGCACAAACCTGGTGCATTTTTAGCAGTCAGATATCTACCTTCATTTTATTCCCTTTAGAGATTAGGGAAAGAAAATTTTACTAGTAGAATTTCAAATCTTTTGCCTTTTGAACAGTTCTTGACTGCAAACTCTCAGATCTCACTTGAAACTTCATGTTTTGAAGATCAAGTGTAAATTGGATGATGGGCTGTGCTAGACTTAATATTAAATTTAATTATTTATTTACTTTGTGCATCATCCCTTGACATTTACAGGGGTCTGCTTGCATATAAATGTAGGAAGCTGATTAAGGATGAGATTTCAACATAGATTGTCTTGGACTGCTTGATTCTTGTTCAGTGCTGGGCATTGTTTAATATGGGCTTGATAAAGTGCATGTATTAGTTATATTGTCAAATATCTCATTTCATTTTCAGAAAGTGCACATATTCTATGCTGCGTATCTTAAGCTCTAGCCTTTCAAGCTTAGTGGTGTGTGTATACATGAAAGTTGTTAGGTATATAAAACAGCCATTCACGAGCCTTCACCTAATAGCTATAACTTTTAGAATAGTTGGTCATTAACAAAAGTGACCTGTCATCGTGCCTCTTTTTTGCTTTATTCTTGACCAGTGAGATATTCAGGTTAGAGTTACGCTTAACTTGGAGTATAAAAACTATGATTGCTACATCTTTTGTTCGGATTTGTGTTTCTCTTGTTGTGATAATAATCTGTGTTGGTTAGGGCGTTTTTCTGCTGATTGTAAGGATACTATTTATTATATCGTATAAATCTTACTTTTGTACTCTGAAGAATTTAGTTCTTCAACTTTTTTATTTGCCTTTGGTTGCTGTTTGTTTTATTGCATTTGATTGTTGGACTAATATTCTCCCTTGTTACATTCTCTCCCCCTTCCTTTCATCACATCCTTGTGATTTTTTTCTCTCTTGACTTGAAATAACTTAGGTTGATTTGGAACATAATCAATATCGGTCATTCCAAGGTTTAACTTGCCTGATGCAAATCTCAACACGGACTGAAGATTTTGTTGTTGACACTTTGAAGCTTCGCATTCATATTGGTCCCTATCTGAGGGAAGTGTTCAAGGACCCTGTGAAGAGGAAGGTTAGTTGCAAATGATTGTTTTTTCTTTTAATTCAACATGTTTGGATCATTCTGTTGACCCTAATTATGGTTAATTAGGTCATGCATGGTGCAGATCGAGATATTGTGTGGCTTCAACGAGACTTTGGCATTTACATTTGTAATTTGTTTGACACTGGCCAGGTTTGTTTGTAAGGATATTTCAATATTGATATTATTTCCCTTGTTACTTATCAAGGAAACAAAATTGCATAGTTGTCAATAGCAGTTAGCGGCCGGTAGCGGCCGACCCCGAAAATGGTATAGCGGTGTAGCGGGTAGCGGTATTGCCGCTACGGTGAAGTATTAATTCCACATATATTATACTAACAGTCAAGAAACGAGGCAATACCGCTTTTAGTATTAATGCTCAAACATAAGAAGTCACACAAAATCAAACACATAATTCCATAATCAATGTCAAATACAAGGAACATAAAGGAAGGATCCAAAATTAAACACAAATGAACAATAAAATTGTCAAATAGTCAAGTACAAGAAGTGAACTAATGAAGAAAATCATCATCATCTCCGGATTCTCCATCAAATTCCAACATGGGAGTGGTGTAGCGGTTTAGCGGGTAGCGGTATTGACGCTATGCTACACCGCTACCTTCCGCTACGGCCAAAGTCGAGTAGCGTCGCGGTTTGTAGCGGCCGACCGCCGCTACCCGCTACGGTAGCGGTTTAGCGGCGCTACGGGCCGCTACTGACAACCTAGCAAAATTGTATAATCAGTTTGTTGGAAATATTCCTCCTTAATTACATAGGCGGCTACACATTCTAATGTAAATAAATGCAAGTCTCCAAGCTTAGAAAATCCCTGTAATAAATTTAGAATTAGAATGGTCCATTGACCATCTATAAATATAAGTAAGGGAGAAATCAGAGTTCTGATATCAAGTTCTAGTTAGAAATCTAGAAATCCTCTTCCTAAGAAGAAAGAGTATTGCTTGTGAGAGATAAACAATTTTAATCCATTCTTAAAGTGGATGAGAAATTGAGAGTAAACCTCTAGCTCTTGTACTAGAGAAGAACAACATTTTTCAATCCTACTTTACATAGTGGACGATTTTTTGGACTAGGTCCCATAGTTTTTACTCCTCATATTGAGGGGGTTTTCCATGTTAAAAACCTTTGTGCGCGTTTTGTTAGTCTGTTCCCACTTCCGAGTTCCGAGTTCGCTTGCTCACTCTGACAGCTTTGAATAATTTCTATCATTGCTTTAGCGCTCAGACTTCCTGGATCTGACTTCGTGTGCTCAGTCCATTGATTTCAAATATATTTTCTTGCTTCCGCACTAACTAACCAAACGCTCCTTACCCATCCAGTTATATGGTTGGTATGTAAAACGTTGTCTTTGATTGGTTGATGCTGGTTCTGAATGTAGAATTTAGTCTTTAGCTTTTCATGTATTCATAATGTATTGATTTGTTCTGCAACATGAAAACATGGTGATACAATGCTTGCAAAATTCTTCTGCCTTTGGTTCTCCTTGCCATAATCTATTTTACTTGATCACGTCTTAGCTGTTTTGTTGCATCAGTCCTCTATTCTTTATCACCCAAGACTAATCTATTTTGATTGCATTGCTTAGGCTTCAAAGGTGTTAAAATTGGAAAGAAATAGTTTGGAACATCTTCTGCATCATTTTTGTGAGGTCACTGCAAACAAAGAGTATGTTGTATTTTTTCTATAATTTCAAATTTTGGAATTTGCTCTTCCTTTCATTGTCTGAATGCAGATGTATTACTATAGCGTCTGGCATGATTTTTCTTTTTTATTCTCACTTACATTCTGGAAGGTTTACAAGTAAACTCACTGCAGATACCAGAATGCAGATTGGAGACTACGTCCTCTTCCTGATGAGATGCTAAGGTACAATTGTAATTTAAACTTATCACATTTGATCTTTCCTTGTTTCTTCCTGTTGTTTTTTTCCTTTTCCATTGGATTTCAAATGTGTCTTGGTTTCCAAAAATAAACTGGAGGTAAGTAATGAGTAATCCAGCTTTGTGGGGACTGTACAGCAAACGAAGAATCTGGTAGTAATAGGTTAGATTGTTCGCTATCTCCCTTGTATTTGGGTGCAATTGACCTGAGACTAGAGAATTTGGTATATATTTTTAGAACCAGCCCTTTCTTGCTCATACAGGCATAAGTTTCACAATTCATAATGAACCTTCTATTCTGCAGTTAGCACCTTCAAAACTCTGGATGTTCAGGCTAGCTCATTATTTGAACTTGAGCATACCTGACCTGACTAGATATATTATTCCTAAGGGATTCATCAGACAAGTTATGACAAGGTTGCCTGAATTATATTAATGTTTAGGTAATTTGTTTCTGGAAATGGTATCTTACTCACTAATCACTATACATATTCTTTACAACTGCATGCTAATAATGAAAGCATCATGGTGGAGTATCGAATAGGAATAATGGGATTTGGCAATGCAACATATTTGTATTCAGAATAGTTAATAGTGTTCTATAGCGCCATTACTGTGATGCATTCCATCACTGTGTTGTCATGCCTTTCCACGATGGAAGTGGTGTCGTGCTGAGTTTTTGTGGAGAGGCGATAATGGCCTGTATTGCGGGTAGATAGTGGACAAATAATGGCCATAGTTGCCACTTAGGTTAGCACTTACCAGACCATTAAATCCTGTTTTGTTCCCATTCTTAAGGTGAATTTTGAAATTTGATACGTTTTCTCCCATTGGAACCAAAATAGGGTTCAAAGCCGCCTTCATTCTTTGAAGTATGACACACTAGGTTTCTGCAATGTTTGTTTGCACCACCCATCTCCAGCAGGCGACACATTTTTCAGTGATGCCCTTGCTTTTCCGCAGACCAATACTTTTTCTGGCAGTCCTAACATGTTTTCTGGCAGCCGCTTAACCACTCTTTAGTCTGCTGCTCCTTCTTCCACACTGTTTATAGCTCATACTTCCAGGTCTGTCCTTTATTTTATTTTTTTCCTTTAACTTCTTCCATGATTCCATCCTCTGTTCTGTCTCTTTTTTGTTGTTGATTATTAATTCCAGTCCCTCTTTGGTTCAGCCATGGCACCATATAAGTCACAATCAGCTGACCAGAGCACCCCAGCCTCTTTTTGTTATTGACTTGTTAATTATGCCTTAGATTGATGGTGATTGTGTGTATAGACTATGATATGCCTTTAATTTTGTATATTTTTATTTTTGAGCATTTATAGTGTTTTATTATAAACTGCATTTTCCCTCATGTCTTTGGTAGAGCGGTGTTACGATCCCATTTGCAAGGTATGGGACTTGGAGTCCCACATTGGTTGTATAGGCAACTAATGTGGGGTTTATAAGGTCTTGGGCACTCCCACCCTTTGAGCTAGCTTTTGGGGTGGTGCATCTCAAGGTTCTTATCAAATGGTATCAGAGCCTTCCACTATGTCTCCCGGTTGCAATCGAGCAGCACGGGTGGTGACATCGGCATTGCAGTGTTTGCCCGGGGCTAGTAAAAGACTAGCGCAAAGCCAGCCCGCGTGGGGGCCGGGGCTGCGGAGCGTGGTGAAATGTTACGATCCCATTTGCAAGGTATGGGACTTGGAGTCCCACATTGGTTGTATGGGCAACTAATGTGGGGTTTATAAGGCCTTGGACACTCCCACCCTTTGAGTTAGCTTTTGGGGTAGTGCATCTCAAGGTTCTTATCAAGCGGCCATCCCGCTGTCTATTATCCTACTATAGCATTTTTAGGGTAAGTGACTGGTGTCGTTATCAGGGACTGACAACTACGTATGGATATCAGTTGTGATTAAGGGTATTAATTTGCTGGCTTGGTGGTTATTTGGAGTTCTCCAGTAATTTGCAATTTCTATTAAATGAAATTTTCTATCTGAAATCACGATTACTTGACCATTATCAAGAGTATTGTTAGAACTAGAACGCTTTCGCTATTTTAAGGATTTGCTATTTACTTTGATTCTCACCATTTGTTTTGGAATTGAGATTACTGGCTAGTAGCTTTCGTTTTCCCTCTACTATTTCTATTTGACCCATAGCACATCTTTCAGAGAATACTTTGCAGAATTCTACCTTCAGTATAAACAAATTGAAATTGTGACAAGCATTGCTAATTTCTACTGTTATGACAAATCTTATGTGTTTAGTTCCCCCCTGTTTGGAAAAAATAAATAAGTAGGTCAAATCTTTAGTTCATGGGCAAACTAACGAATGCAATCTACTGAACTGTTTCTCTGATGACAGATATGCCAGAGAAGATACACACTATCTGCTGTATATATATGATTTAATGAGGATTAAGTTATTTTCCTTGCCTAAGGATTCTGAAAGTTCTGATACTCCTCTGGTGGAGGTAACTATTTACTAACCCAAAACATTTCTGCCCGTGGATGCTATTTCCTAGTGCATTAATAATAAAATTGATTTTGTTGATCATCAGACTTGCATGCTTTTTATAAGTTCAGAAATTTATTCTGATTGATTTAAATTCATTGGTATTTCTGTTTCCATGATAAGAGATATAATAAAGGCAATCATATGCCTTCACCCAACAATTTAACCTTTTGGGAGAGTTGGTTGCTTGACACATGGTTTTATAGAGTTCAAAAATTTATTCGGATTGGTTTAAATTTATTGGTATTTCTGTTTCTGTGATCTGGAACGATTTTTTTTCCCAAGGTTTAGTAATTTAAGATTGCTGCAAGTTCTGTACAATAGTACATTTACTAATTTAGCAAAACAGAAGCCTCTGCTACTTTTTCCTTTATGCTTATTCATTGTGGTACAGTGGTAGTTTTTAGTTGAGTCAATCTTCTTTTATTTTCTAGATGCCTAGTTGAGATCAAACTAACTAGATGAGGATATACTCTATCGAACCTTTCTGTAAGCCAATGGATGCTCCTTGGTTCCCTTAGAATGTTTTGTCTCAATCGTTTGAACCTATATGCATGTTGCAATCTTGCAATGGTTGATTAGACTTTTTGACCTTTCCTTTCTATACATATTAAGATTTTTTGGGAAGTATATTGATTCTAAATCTTTGATCAAATAGCGAAACAACATAGCTGAATGATTGGTTTAATAAACTTATATTTTGGTCTTTTAATTGGATTTTTCTCTCACTTGCAGGTCTACAAACGCAGTTATGATGTCTGCATGCAGCTATATGAGAAAGAACTTCTGACAGAGAACTCCTACCTTCATATATACGGGTTTGTTACCTTTTCAATTGCCATTCTTTCATTAATGTAGCATTCTATATAAGTAGTTAGTGGACCAAGCTTGATGTAATTTTTTTATTATTGTTCGGTTTGTTCTATGTTAAGAGAGCTTGTGTTTTAAAGTTCTGCTTTGTATATAATGCTTGCGAGAGGTGTAAAGCAAAGCTCAATTACTGTTTCTGTACAGGTTGCAAGGGGCCGGTTTTAATGCTCAGCAGCTTGCCATTGTTTCAGTAAGTTGCTCTTTAGTTTGTTATTTGTAGCATCAATCTTCAATTACTTAAATAGGGAACAAAAGCTTGCCTTGTTTTTTTTTCTCCAACACCATTTTTGTGGTGAATATGGAAAATGGTTTCCACTAAGCAATCCTTTGCAATAAATTTTGGTACTACTACATGGAATTGTAGATTACTCTCTTTTGGTAATTCTCTTTATTTTATAAAAATTCAGGTTCGCTGCTATAGCATTACTCTGACCACACCAAATTCTCAATTGTAACTATTGCAGCCATTTTTCACCACCTTCATTCCTGTCATTATTACCTTCACTCCAGTTACTTTAATAATAGTGCTGCAGTTTTCTAACTTCTAAGTACTCTGCTATCATCTCAATCACTAATAGGAACTTTTAGAATTGATGTCTTGCTGAATCATATTGATTTCTGTCATGAAACAGTTTGGGTTGGACACCAAGAAACCCAGATTTCCTTCTAAGCCTACTTATCCTGTCTACCATCCGATTTTATTCTTTGATAAAAGTGTTTTATGTTTTTCTTACACAATCGAAATTAACATCCAACACAGAAAGAACCAGATACAATGGATGTTAATAAAGCATATTTACATATACGATATTTGTATTTACATGGTTTTTACAATCCAAATTAATATAGTATACTTCTTATTCAGGATTTTATAATAAAGCAATTTCCATCTTCTAAATGTAATGAACAATGGCATATTATATATTGCATTCAGTTTGGATTTCCTTACCCTCAACATCTATTGTAGGTCATATACTATATTTACATGGCTTGCAGGGGCTTTGTGAATGGCGGGACATTGTTGCTCGTGCCGAGGATGAAAGTACTGGATATGTATTGCCCAATAAATCTGTTCTTGAAATTGGTAAGTGAAACTTGTGCAAACTTCCGTTTCATCTTTTGTCTAAATGTTAGCAGTTTATCTGTATGGTACTTGTCAACTTAATTTGTATTTACTTGTTTAAAAGCTAAGCAGATGCCTCTCACTACAAACAAGCTGCGGCGGTTGGTGAAGTCAAAGCACCCTTATGTTGAACACAATCTTGACACTGTTGTCAGCATCATTAGGCATTCAATTCAGAATGCTGCTGCCTTTGAAGAAGCTGCTCAACAATTGAAAGGAGGGCATGCCGCTACTGTAAGTAATTCGTTTAACAATTGCCATACCCTGGATTGATTGGGCGGTAGTTGGTCTCCTTTTAATGTTGCACTTTATTGTTCTTATAACTAGGCATCCTTTTTATGCTTGCACTTATTGCAGTATATCTATTATGAGCCTATCCAAATAAGACTACTGATATAACAAGACTTCTTGCACGTGTATAACCCTATTTTGTAATACTCTTAACATATAAGGCATAGTTGGAGGTTTAGTACAGGAATACACTATTCCAAGATACTGAGTTGCTTCCACTAAGAACATGGGATCATGGAGTATAACATCTGTATGAAGGAGATTTCGCCCAATCAGCTTTTGTAATGCAAATTACCTTAGTATGGCCTTCGTCTTTGTCCGAAAATCCTTGACTGACTACTCTTTTAATATACCTGAGCATCTGAGTCAGTGTCCCAATGATTGTTACATGGAGCTTGTTGACACTGTCTTACCACACTTTGAGCAAAACGGATATATGGTCCGGTGATGGTGAGATGATTTAGTTTCCTATCAAGTCTCCTATTCTGTCTCTGAACTAGGGTATGATAAATGGCTCCCCTTGTCATTTGGATTCATCAGTCTGCTATGAGTGTTCTCTTAGTAAAAGAGTAAGGTTAAAAATGATAATTGATCTAGCTTGAGAAGTCTAATTAACTGCTTTTAGAATCTTTTAAAAAATTTATTCTCCCGATTTTCTGGGAATTAATGCTGCTCAACTGGCTTAGGGGGTTGATATATATATATTTTTTGTTTTAATTTCTGATTTTTGTTTGTTGATTAAATTGTTTGATTATCTGTATCCAGGCATCAGATGTAGTACCTGTTACAGATGGAATTGAAGATCCCCTACACCATGCACAAAATTCAAAGGTTGGAAATGCAATTAGAGGAAGTATTAGAATAAAAAAAAGCCACATGTATTAATATCTCAGAAATGACCAATTTTTTGGACCTTAAACAGGAATCTTTTCAGCATCAAGATACAAATGTACTATTAAATATTAAGTCCAATAGTCTCACATCTGAGTTTCCAAGGGACATTCTCACAATTCCAGAGCAGAACAAGGATGCAAATGTTGGTGCACTCTCTACAGAAAAGGTTGTAAAGTGATTTCAATGTTTTGATCTCCTAGTGAGGAGCATCAATCTGATTATTACTCATTTGTTAATAGGGAAATGGAGCAACTGTTCAAGTTCTAAAAAAGCCTACTGGTGCTTTTGGGGCCCTACTGGGGAATTCGGCTTCAAAAAGGAAGCTTGGTTCTGGTAAGGTGAGTTTTCCTCATGAACATCTCGAAGGATGTCTGTCACATACGGGATGTAAACCTGTAATTTGCCTTTTCTTTTTGGCTGTTATTTGCTTTTCGCTATTTGTATGTTCTGACCCTTATTTTTCTGTCTCTACTTATTTCTATGCTGCAATTTTCGGATTTCTTTAAGGCCAAGGAAGAGATCAAGTTAGAGCAGATTAAATCTTCAGTCAGTCTTCCTTTCCATTATTTTTCGGGTAGCAGTGAAAAATCAAAACCTGTAGCAGAAACTCCTAGTGTAGCATCTGAAATGTCAGACCCACAGAAACCTGTTTCTCATCCAGTTTCCACCTCCACTCTAGAGGAGATTATTATGCTAGAGCCTGATACAGGTGCAGAGGATATGGAGCAGAATGACCCAGAAAACTCCAATGAGCGAAGGGACAAAAATTCTGTTGTGTCTACTTCGGGAAAAGATGATGAAAATGAGCCAATGTCTCTCTCGCAATTGTCATCAAACTTTCAGAAGTGCTTTCAGGCAAACAATCAAAGTAACAAAACCAGAGAGCCCAAGAAAACTGAACAACCCAGTGGCTTATTGCAGCTGAAACCATTTGATTATGAAGCAGCAAGGAAACACGTTAAGTTTGGAGAAAATACAAAGCATGCATCTTTGGAGAGTAATGATGGGGATGTGGAGAAAGATGGCTCAGGTAGCAAGAAGCGTTCAACAAAAGGACAGGATCAAACTAGTGATCTGACTATACAATTGCCGCAAGGTAGAAGACGTCAAGCATTTCCAGCTTCTGGGAATCGTAGTGCAACATTCCGCTGAAAATAGATGCGAAGTAGATTAAGTTTACAAAATGATTGCATTGAAAATTCTCATCAAGTAGATCAAGTTTATAAAATTTTGTAAAATTTAAAAATTAATTCATATTTCATTCTCAATTCAATTTTAACATATATATTTTGGTAAGTTATAAGTAAATATCGATTACAAGATTACATATTTATGAATATTCAGTTTACATTAAGATAATGTCATACGATTTAAAAATTATTATTAAATATTAATAAAGTATTAATTATATTTTGTAACTTTTTTTATCTTTTAATATTTCTACTAATTTAAAAGAAAGTAAGTATTGTTAAAGTCTTGGAGCCTGTTTGAATTCAGTTTTTAAAGAATAATTTTTTAATTTTCAAAAAAATAAATAAATAAATCTACTTGATAATTCTTGTTTTGTAAAATTAATTTTAAAAATTATAATTTTTTTTAGTTTTAAAAATTAAATTTAGAGAATATAATTCAGTTATTTGTGTTTTTAGATTTACTTTTAACTTTCAAAGTAAAAAATTCCTATTTCATTGACTATTATATAACTCTGTTTAAAAATAAAAAAAAAATAGAATACGATCAAATAGATTCTTAAATTCCTATTTCATTCCCACAAAAAGAGTTTTTTTTAGTGTGTGAGTACTATTGTTGAATAAAATCCTTATAATAAATTGTTCCTACCTAAAAATTTATCCATGTAGAAAGATTTGAGGATAATATTAACATAAATAAGAAATAGTAAGATTTGAATTTATAATGTTATGTAAATTATCAAACTTGTTATAATGGTTTACAACTTTACATGGCTTTTGATTAGCACGAAGAAGCTGCTTTAAACTGTTTTTTTTTTATTTATTTATTGAAATCAAAAAATTGGTACCATTGTTAGTATACAATTATAACGGGGTGATTGAGTATTGTGTCCCCATTTTTTAAACAATTTATCACTTTGCTCACTTTTTTTTATTTTTTTATACCAATCCTAATTATCTTTTATAGGCGAATCAATTCCAGTATTCCGATAAATTTCATTTCTTTGAGCTTGCTATATGATTAATCCTGAATTGGGACTTAGTCACACTTAAAATTTCTTACCCTTCTCAAAGATATATTTAAGGAGAATCGAACACAGATTCTCTCCCACACCTTAGCCAGTTTTTTCAAAATTATGTATTAATATTATTTTTCTAAAAAATCTATGATAATTATTGTCTTATATTACATAAGATAAAAATAACTTTCATACACTCACATATAAAGAAACGAGACCCGTTTATGAATTTTCTATCTTTTATATTCTCTCTTTTCTATATGTGTGTGCAAGAAACTTATTTTTTGTTATGTAACGTAAGAAAACAATTTCCCATAATTTATGCTCATTTGGTCGAGTAACACGCATAAAAGCACAACGTGCTATCTAAGGTTGAGCGTAAATGATATTCCATTAGGTTTTGAACTTCTCAATCTATAACCAAATCGAATTTACATTATCAAACACGTTGATAACTGGTAGTTTTTTTTTTTTTTTTTTTCGTTCTCGAGTATGCAAATTGCAATTCATTTCTTCCTTTTTCTTTTATATTAATTATGTCGGTGCTTGAGCTCCCTTTTAAGGTCAAACTTCCGAGCAAGAGATCCGTATGAGATCGGGGAAGTTGATATATATATATATATATATATATATATATATATATATGGAAAATATTTTCTCATGTCGTACGAGAGTTGTTTTCTCCTACTAGTGATCTTTCGATTTTCATGTAATATTTTTATTTTTATTTTTATTTTTTTACTAGATGTGACCTCACATAAGATGTGTCTACAACATGAGAAATTTTTTTCCTACCGCATAAGAAAATCGATATATATATATATATATATATATATATATATATATATATATATATATATATATATAAGGTTCGCTTTTTGTCATGTGATATGACTAAAGCACTTTCCTGCACACACAAATCAAGTGTGGGTCCCACGCAAAAAAAAAAGTCAAACCAAATTAGGATACGACGCCGTATCCTCAAGATACGGACGCCGTATCCTTGTTGCAGGAATGAACAGTGCCATTCCTGCAACATGATTCTTATATTTCCCATATATATATATATATATATATATATATATATATATATATATATATATATATATATATATATATATAACGATCTGTTTATAAATTTTTTTTTACAAATTTTTACAAATTACACTGTATTTCTATAAATAATACTATGTACTTTCAGAAGTACATAGTGTTAAGAACCTTGAGGTCACCACCCCAAAAGCTAGCTCAAGGAGTGAGAGTGCCCAAGGCCTTACAAATTACACATAGTTTGCTTCCAGGAGTACACTATATATATATATATATATATATATATATATATATATATATATATATATATATATGATATTGTAACAATCAATTTCACCGTTAGATCGATTATGTTGATGCAACGATTATATTTATTTTCATCTTTATATTGTTATGATTTCCCATATTGTAACTCTGATTTGTAAGCATGTGACAACATTGATCTTTTTTGATCTAACGGCTATCAGATAAGGTGTCAAACTTCAAATTTGACATTGGTATCAAAGGATCTTAGACACTGTACATGTGAACAATTGAAACTATGATAAAAAACAAAAGCAGCGAGAACATTAGGATCTATGAATTAATTAACAACTAATTCCAATAAACCGATCCGGCGACGAGGCGGTAGAGTGCGGCGGCGCAACGAAGGCTATGGGCAGCGGCGGCGGCGTGACAGAGGCTATAAGCGGCGGCGGCGACTGCGTTAGAGAGTATAGTGAGAGAGAAGGGGGGAGAGGGGGAGAGAGAGAAGCGAAGAAATGGGCTATTTAGGGATTAAACGAGGACCGTCGGATCGTTACTACCAATTTAACGGTGAGATTAATTGGTAGTAACATTGGTAGTAACTTGACTTGATTGTTACAATATCCTTCCCCTATGTACATATATATAATTTGGGCTCCTTTGTTCTCTCATATAGAATTTCTATTTCAATTAAAAAAAAGAATTAAAGTGTGATTTCTTCGTGTTCTGCACATGTGCATGTCGGAGTATGCATAGTTGGTTTCTTTATCTAAATTATTGATTTAGGGAACCTAGTATAAGTATGCCTCTTGAATTCGATTTATAGTTGTCAAAAGATTTGATTGGGGGACTGTGAGTAATTTGAAGACCTGTAAGTGTTATAGAATACATATTTTTCTATTCATTTTTTCTCTAGGTGTTTCTTAGCATACTCATGTAAAGAAGTCATTCGCCCGACATAATTGAGTAATATCAGTTTACTTAGATTTTCTTTGATGTCAGTTGAGTTGATCTGCTGTTACAGAACTCCCTTTATACCAAGCACTCACAATTATCTTTGGAGCCTTACTTTGTAGCAGAGACTACAAGGCTTGGGAATAGTGGGTTTGATACTTTGATATCAACTGTGCTTCTCAGTCTTTTAATGTCCTAGCTGAGTAGATATTTTTCTATTTTAAGAGAAGAGAGAAGTTATTGATGTGGGCTTTTGTCTTTGATGGTAGAATGCAATGAAGGAGAATCCTATTTTTACAAGTAAGAATCAATCTGATGGGGTTAAAATGGCTACATTAGTTTGTGGCTAAATAGTCAAAGCTAAAAGCCCTGTACACATAATATTCTCTTAAATATTCTTTCATTAAGGGAAGCTAATATGTGATTTCAAGCTCTAAATGTCAGAGGATTGTTTGTAATTTGCATAAGTTGATACTTTTCTTCACTTTCTCTTTTCAAAGTATGGTGCTAACTTGCCACAGCCTACAGATTCTTCAGTGAGGATTAAAGAGATTACAGGTCTGTTTCATTCTATTATGTTTTTTTTGTTCTTTAAACTATTCTGAAGAATGGTTAACAAAATAGATATTTTTTGTGATTTTAATAAGAGTTAAAACACAAAACAAAAATCACTTAGATATATTTTCTAAGTTTAATTCTAAAAACTAAAAAATAATTATAATTTTAAAATTATTTTTACAAAATCAGCCTTATCGAATGATGTATTTTTGTTTTTGTGTTCTGTAAATCAACAAAATTATTTTTGAAAACAGATTTCAAACAGACCATTGCGGTAGTTTCCTTTGCAGATAATTTGTCCACAAATTTCATTTTGTTGATGAGAAAGTCATTACTACGGAAAATATTTAACTATTGGAGGAAACATAAATATTACACAATTTGGTTTAATACGAAATGTATATTTATATGAGTTCATCTAAATATATTCCAATTTTTTATTTTTGGTGCATGGATGAGTTTCATGTCTCTTTCAATACAATGTTAGTATATTGATACAATACGTAGAACCTCTACTCGCGTACGTGGAGCACCAGCCTGGGCACGTGACTTCACATGAAGTCACAATGTGGCAACTTGAGCAACGTGGCAACTAAAGTTGTTCCTTGGTGTTAGTTGGTTGTTAGTTAGTTAGGATACTCATTAGTATAGATAATGAGATGTATAAATACACATAAACTGAGATGTAATCCATATAAAGAAATGAAATAAACGATTCCTCTTCTTTTTCTTTGATAAGAGTTCTCTCTGTGATTTTTCTTTGCAACCCTAGGTTGTAACATTGGTGCTTTCATTCTTATTCTTAAGCCTAACACAATGCGGGTCCAAGAGGTAGTTGATGAATTGACATCCACAAAGGCGGAGTGGAACCAGCGAAATATGGAATTGAGTCAGAGAATTGATCAAATCTCTGAGTCTTTGGAGCTTCGTTTGACGAATTACTTTGAAAATCGGTTCAATACTTTGGAAGCTACGATGCATGAGTTTGTGCACCATGATAGAACACACCATGTGTCTCCAACAAGTTCTCACAGCCATGCGCGTACCGATTCCTAAATTGGGGGAAATGCCGTTTATGACCAGGGTCAAGCGTTGAAGTTTATCAAGATGGAAATTCCATTATTTGATGGCCAAAATCCTCATGTTTGGCTTTTCAAATCTGAACTATTCTTCAACATGCAAGTCATTCCTGAAGAATTTAAGATTCGTTTGGCAGGGCTCAAAATGAAGGGTGCTGCAGCGTCTTGGTTCCAGTGGGTGCATTCTAGTG